CTACATAAGTGTTCTCAAAGGTAATAGATAATTCAGCATTACATTCTTTGTGAAGTATCAAATAATTTTTGTCTGGACTGTGCGTCTATGTGTGTGTGTGTGTGTGTGTGTGTGTGTGTGTGTGTGTGTGTGTGTGTGTGTGTTTGTGAGTTCACTTGTTTGTGAGTTCACTTGTTTGTGAGTTCACTTATGTGTGTGATGCTTGTTTGTGGATGTCTTTGTGTGTGTGCAATTTTCTGTGTCCACGATAATATGTATTCATAGGCGCTGCCAAATTTACTTTACTTCTGCATAATGTGCGCCGATATTCTGCAGATTTCCAAGCAAATTTTTTCATTAAGTGCATGGGAATCGTAAAGAAACTTGGTCACTTTTATAGATGTTATATGCGAGTGTGCATGTAAATGGAGTAGATGCGAGTGTTTGTGTATATGTGTGTGTGTATGTATGTGTGTGTGTGTGTGTGTGTGTGTGTGTAAATGTTTGTATGTTTGTAGATGCGGAGATGCGGGGTGAGTGTTGTGCAAATATAAATTATATCTACCTCTTATAAATCTTGAGTTTTTAAAAATTTCAGGTTCAAATTTTTTTTATTCTAAGCAATACATTTAGGCATAAAGTTACTTGGATTATTTTATCATTCAAAAAATAGAGGCAATCTAATTTCAACAAACTTTAAATTTTAAATATTTCGAAGAAATGGTCTATTTAGAATAAAAATAGTTAATTATTCAGCATTAAAATAAGCGTTAATCATTTATATATATTAAATTTATTTTGCCAGTTTAAAAACTGTCTTACATATAATAATTGTTCGTTCGTTTGTTCGTTTGTTCGTTCGTTTGTTCATTCGTTCACTTACTCGTCCGTTTGTCTGTTTATCGGCGGTGGAAAATGAAACAGATTTAAAGGTATAATTGGGCAGACGTTAATGCTGATGAGGTGGGTGGATAATGATGATGGTGGTGCTACCGTTGAGGAAGAAGATGGGTGAAATGGCAATGATGATGACGATGTGTTAATAATGGTGATAATGTTGTTATTGCTGATGATGATAATGATGATGGTGATGATGAGGATGAGATTGAAAACTTAAATCTAGTTGTAGAGTAATGAGCCAGTACATAGGCATTGAATGAACATAATCCTCTCGCAGAATAGCCAGCCATGTAGTTTGCCTCAGTTCTATAAAATTGTCCAACCTCTCGATACAAATGTAAAAATGGATAAAATACAGAGTGATTGCAAAGAATGCAAAGAATCAATTGTAACAATTTGTTTGTGAACCAATCTAAAAACAAAACAAATGAATGAAAAAGTTTTGTAAACCCTTCGTTAAGATTAATTGTGTTTTATGTACACACACACAATACCATATCATCCCTTCTACTGTCATCTTCTTTACAAGTTTTGTTGCAAGGCCAAAATCAGCTTAGTAATTTATTAGCTCTTCCGTTTTACCGCTTACATATGTAGAGTCTTTTTTAAGTAGCTATTCCAGTCAGTTGTAGTGCTGAAATATCTTCTGTTGAGGTAATTATTTCTAGTACATTTTAGAGTTCTACAGTTTCGTAGGTTTCCACAATTTCCTCCATCGACAACAACTGTCAAGAAGGGATTAAGCACAACCATATCATACTACCACATGAAAAATTAAAATTTTCTTTTGCCATCATCAGGTAGTCTTCATTCATTTTTGTTCCAATTATTTTACCAGTTTGAAAAAATTATTCCCAATTCATTGCCTTCACAACAATATCATCAATTCTTGTGCTACACCTCTTACCGACAAACCTCATTTGAAGCAACGATGAACAACAGTCAATACTCCGGTTGATATAAAACATGACTAAGCAGAAGATTACTAAGCAGGACAAAATAATTTATCTGAAAAAATAAATAAACCACAAAATACAAAAAATAACGCTGCTTACATCTTCCAGGTAGCTCATTTGGACAACTATGAACAAACCAAAATAAAACTAACACACAACCTGCGTTATACTTTTATGAAACATGTAATCAATAATACAAAATGAAATAAAACCATACATAAACATCGTAACAAAAGCTACATTAGCGCGAGGACAGCACATAACTTGAATATATAAAAACTTGGAAAAACCAAGGCAGTTGACAAATCAGCAAAAAAGGAAAAGAGGCAATAAACAGTGGAGCAACATATGCAAATCATCCACTGTGGCTTGGAATGACGTGGCCTAGGAATGGCAATTCTATAAATTATTCGCCCGCTTTTCATTTTTATTGCCGTCATTTTTAATTTGTAAAATCATTTTTGTATGATTTCTACGTGGCGGTCTTTCGTGCAATTTTCATATTTTCTCGGTACGGTTTTTTGTTGCTACTTTTCTACTACAATAGCGAGAAGTAAATTTTGTTCGATAACGAGAAGTTACTGTCAGCAATCACAATAATAAAGCATCAATTTCAAGAAGGCACCTTCAATGGCTTCCAACTAATGTTAAGAACAATAGCAAGAAGAACGGCAGCGAGATCACGACAGTGGCACGTAACGAACAATACAACTGCAGCCTGCATATTAAACAAATGCATGCCTTGCGTGATCTCTGCGTTGACGCCATAAATTGATCTTATCATATAAGTAGCGTATAAATAAAAAGTACAGGTACTACTGAGTAGCATATAATACATCCAGCTTCAAGTACTTCTCGTTCAATCAGCCAACCGTCCAACCGTCCAACCATGCGACCATCCAACCATGCAGTCAGGTTATTATGTGATCAAGTTCCTACGCACTCTCTCCATCCATCAATTTATTGTCCAACATTTTCTCGAACGTTTGAAAATTTTGTAAACTTGCATTGATTCATTTTGTAATAAGGCGAATAAAACAAACATGCCTTGATGCAAATAGTAACAATGTGAACAGACACACCAGGCACAAACACAGATGACCTAAGCACAAAGAACGGAAACATGAATTAGGAACATAGATCAGAGAGGCATTGATATGGAAGAGAAGGCAAGCGGGGACAGCTTATATTCTGGGCAGAGGTCAGTCTAGATGGTCGAGCACCTTTGAAGTCATCCATTAAATCTTCGCCTCAGTTTGTCCACATAACACTTGCTTATTTCTCATGCGGACACCTTTTTCAGGCTTATCGCAAGCACATTTTGTAAAAGCCGTACACGTGTTAATGTTGTTTGCAAACCCTTTCTTTGTTAGTCTTCTTGTTCCCCCGTTGCTCGTGCGTGTAAATGTTTTTTTATTGTTTAGGATGCAAAAAGTTGTAAAAATATTCACTGATGTGTTTTTTTTTAAATTAACAATAGTCACAAATTTAATAAACATAGGTAAAATACGAGCGAGGTAATTTATTGCCTAGTTGTGTCCTCGAATAAAAACGGTATCATATTTAATTATGAACACGTTGTGAACTTAATACAAACATTACTTTCTAATGTGTTTCTAGTTTTAGGTTAAAAATTAATTCTAAAAATTTACAAATATACATTAAAATGAAAAGAATTAAGTAGGACCAACTCCTGTTCTTTTCAATTTTATTATTGATTATTGTAAATCCATCGCAGCCTATGCAATGTGAACTTATTTGAGAATGTTTGTTGCACTTTTCGTTGGATCAACATCATTCTTCAATGAAACAGTTTTGCTTACGTTGACCGCATAAATTTTAATATAACGTAACAATTATATATCTTGTTGATATTTTTTTATTCTTTCAATGTTGCTGATTTAATTTTAAATGAAAAAATTATTATTATAGACGCCTAAACAACAAGAAAAACAACAAACGCAACTTAGCTGCTAATGCGAATGAATGAATTTCGCCTTTTTGCATGGTTGTGTATGTTTTGAAACATTTAAAATTACACGGAAGTGCAAATATAATTAGGTGACTATATATCAATAAGCGATGTTATACAATATTTTCACGCTTAAAGTGTTTGGACACAAGTTTTTTATAATTTTAAAACTTGAAAATGCAATAAAAAAGAAAACTATTTTTAGTTTACCGTTAATTATTAAAGTATAATAAGAATAAAAAGTTAAGTTAGTCAAGGATTATATCAATAACAATGGTTTGTGTGTTTTGACACGTAAGAGAAGAAACGCGTTTATAGTTCGTGTTATCGTGTTATTTTTGCAAACATCAACAATTTTTGCGATTTAAAAGTTACAAAGTTAAACATGAAATTACAAGAATTTTCCAACACGACGCCAGTTGGCAACCAGTAAATAACTGTTAGCTATCCAAGATGTTGTCATAGAACTCTGACACGATGATATAAGACACCTAGATCTGGGTCACGGTGACTACGTTCGAATGCAAAAAAAATCCCGTGTGTGTGTGTGCGTGTGCGTGCATGTGTGTGTGCATGTGTGTTTAGTTTCTATTTTCATATGATCTTATTTTTCAACTGTAGTAATTTTGAAAAAGATTCACCAGGAAATAGAAAGAAATAAAAATAGTGCTTTGAAATAAAGATTAAAGTAGGTTCATGTAGGTTATGAAAAGAATTGCGTTGGTGTAAACAGAATTCACTACACTTATTTTCATCGTAATAAATATCTACATATAAATTTTTAACTTATTGCTCAAGAAACCTACTACAGTTAGTTTTGTTCATTCTGGTTCTTATTTTATATTAAACTTTGTTTGTATGATTAAACCATCTTTAAAAAATATGACTTGAATAATTTGTTTTGTACAAACAAACCAAATTATCCAAGTCAATCAGCACCTGCCATTTATTAGGTACACTATTTTACAGCTTTTATAACAGTATAAGAGTCTGGTTCCTTGGCCACTGTTTGTTAACGATCGGAGAAAGGATAGAATTTCATCTGCTTTCGCCCGCCTGCCAGCTAATATTTTATAAGACGAGAAAATTATTTATGAAATGTTGAAAACTGTTGGAGTATTTTGACAGACAGAGACAAAATATTATTTCTGACTTATGAAATGGGAATTAAAAACATTTTGTCATCTAAAAATTCATTTTTTGAACCGCGCTATTTTTTCGATACTGTATACCTGCGTAATATTTTTAGATTTTGAGTTAAAAATATTTTCAAAGTACTTTTAAAACGATAGGAATGAGAAACGACATACGAACTGTTTCAAAATCCTGCCTCATATTGATATCGAGATAAACGGTACGATACGATACGATACGATCCGATACTAAGTGACGACGACCCTTCTGCAGTATAGGATTAACTCCAGTATCATGTAGTGTCCAGTCTTCATTCATTTGTGGGACTGTCTTTTTGGTGAAATAAACTACTGATTAATGTAACATTATTAATTGAAAGATATTCTTTCCAAACGAGTATTTAATTGTCCATACTTTTAACAAACCAGGCCATTAATTTTTTTCAAACGTACTCTTGTATTCTTCAATTGCACTCCTCAACTTTCAACGTACAAACAACTTTATAAATCGTACATATTTTAAGAATGAATCCAAAACTCTGCGTGCGTTTGAATAATCTTCCCTAACATCAATTTACAAAATCTAAGCCAGATCAAAAGATCGTAATCACAAATTCTTCAAAATTATTTTGAATGTTCCACTAACAATTAAAAATATCAAATGATCAAAGATCTATCGCGATTCCATTAAAAGAAAGAATTAAAAGGCAAAAAATATATAAACTGGTTGCCACAAAATGTTTAATTGTTCGTTTTTCGATTTGATAGAGATAAATAAAAAAGAAAATAAAAAGGCAATATTTTCCTTTGATCGATTGCTTAATCAAGATAACAAACTTTTATTGTACCACGCGTTGTTTTATTATCCTATAAAAAAAAATCAATGTGATAGATATCATCAACATGATATCATCAGCATGATATCATCAACATGATATCATCAACATGATATCAACAACATGTATCATTGCTGTCATGGATAACGCATCATCAATATTTGTCATTGTTTTAACACTTATATCACCAAAAGCATTGTAAATATCATCTGTAATTTTTGTTACCACCAATTGTATAAAAAGAAATTTCAATATAATCATTTCTGTCAATCAATCTTTAGAGATGAGATTTTTTTTGTTACAAACATTTTCATCACCAACATCATTGACTAATCATCATATTCACCACATCATCCCCATCATCATCACTATCATCATCACTATCATCATTACCATCATCTTCGTTATCATCATCTTCATTCCCATCATCACTGTATCAAATATAACTGCCATATTTCTTTTACTAATGAATTCATCAGCATCATCCTCATCACATCATTGTTGACGTTTATAATAATCAGCGTATCTGACATCTTTATTTTCATAATCATCTTCCTTATCATCATCTTCATCAGCATCTTCATCATCATCTTCATCTTCATCAACTTCATCTCCATCATCATTCTCATCATCACCAACATCTTGATCATCGATTGGTTAGCCCAATTTTAATTAATTCGCCATGCAACAAATTAGCGTTTTTTACTATCCGGGTTATAGCAATCTCCTCCGTATAATCAGTTTCATCTTTACTATTTCCATCATCATCCTCATCATTATCGTTATTTTTATCATCATCATCATCGTCATCATCATCGTCGTCGTTCTCTTCATCTTCACCAGCTCAATTGTTATCATTAAAATCATTATTGTTGCCATCCTCCTCATGTCATCATCATTGTCGTCATTGTCATTATCATAGTCATCAACGCCCCTAACCTTGTTTGACCATCATCAACATTATCATCTTCATCGTCGTCATCATCATTATCACCATCTTCTTCTTCGTCGTCGTCATCATCATCATCATCATCTGTAACCTCATCAATACTTGTATCGCAGTCGTCATCTTCATCAGAATATATACGAACCCCATCATAATTCGTGGATATATAGCTGCACATTATATGAATAATTAATGAAATAATGAACGCTATTGAGACTGCTGTATTTTTTATTGGGCTGTTGTTGGTGCCGTTGTGCACCTTCATGTCGCAGCAGCTCTTGTTGCTAACATTGTTAATAGTTATTACGTTTTGTGTGGTGGCAGTTGTCGTTGTTGGAGTGGTTACTCTTGTTATTTTCGTCGCATTTGTTGTTGTTGCTCTTGTTGTAGTTCTTTCTTTTTTATCGTCTTTTTTATTATTTACGAAACATATATTGTTGTGCAACTACACGCCAAAGTATACTTTCTAACCACCAGGGCATACTTACACACACATGCACACACACACACACGCACGCACAAACATACACACACACACACACATATATATATATATATATATATAAATACATACATACATATACAATACATTGATATTGTGTGTACGTGCATAATGTATGTATGTGAAACCTTGTACGACAAAAACACAAGCTGCATACATACATACGTACGTACGTGCGTGCATTATAACTACGCATGTACAACAAACATGTGCAACAATATAAATACATATTTTAGTGTGTGTTTATACGTGTTTATATATGTTTATTATGCTGATGTATGTTTATTTATGTTTGTAAAGCGCACATGCAAGGGAATGCAAATGAGCTGATTGAACGGGCATATAAAAGCGTGCTACCGGCGCCTGAACTTTAAAACGTGGAGAATCATTTGTTAGGTGTTTGTTCTCTTCCTGCTTCTGTCTTAATTTCTATTTAACGTTGCCGTTAGTTTAATAACTTCATTTATGTTTATTATCATTTATTTATTAATTTATTAAAAGATAAACAAAGTTACTGTGTTGTTAACTTAATTTTTGAATAGTTAACCATTTTTAAACTTATGAAAATCAATAATATTTTATAAACATTTGCTTATAAAATAAACAAATTATAAATTGCGTTGAAATTGCAAATATCAAACAAAAATGAGTTGAAATTTCACAGAAAAGTGAGTTATTTGTTGATTGTTCGTTTCTGATCATTGATGGAAACTAAAAAATGTTTTAGCTCGTAGACAATGAAATATGGAATGCTGATTTTGAAGAACTTCTAAAAAGATGTAATGATCATCCTCATTTTCACTCCTCTTCTTCTTCTTCTTCTTCTTATTATTATTATTGTTATCAGTATTATTATTATTCACTCTTACCAGTTCCTCTGAAGGTTTATCTTAAATACGATTAGTCCATTAACAACAAGATGAAATTATTTGAAAAAATTTTTTAAATAATATTTAAAGGTTCCCCATTTATCAAAAATATTTTTCGGTCATCATAATTAAACTGTTATTAAAATTAAAGAAAGAAAAAGAAAATTTTAAATAATAATAAAAGTTAAATTATTTTCAGTTTTCAAATATTGCACTTTTTCTGAAAAAATTACTCTTTTTGGCCATTGTAACCCAATTTAATTTACTGGCACATAGATCTGGCACATGCATTGCCATCGTCATGACGACAGTTCACTTCTTTCGAAACGCCATCTCTTTTCATTGACACCGGTGTTGGTAACAATTAAAAGGATGCATTATTTTTACACTATAGAGATAACCTTTTTTCAGACTTTTCAAAATGTTCTTTTTTGTCATCATCGTCGTCATCTGTATCATCTGCATCATCATCCTCTTTGTCACCACTTTCATCTTTGTCGTTATTATCATTTTAATTATTGTTATCGTTATTGTAATTTTTATTGCTATCGGCATCATGATCATCACTTTATCATCATCGTCGTCGTCGTCTTGATCTTTGTCTATTCGTTATAAATCTTTGAAACAGCAACGGCTCCATCAATATGGTTATTATCTTCTCATATATAGCTTTCAAAATCATCAACACAGCAACAACAACACAGCAACACAACAACAATAACAACACAACAACATTAACAACACAGCAACACAACAACAACACAGCAACACAACAACAACACAACAACAACAACACAACACAACACAACAACAACAATAAAAACACAGCAACAACACATCAACACAACAACAACAATAACAACACAAACGCCTAACGTGAATGCATACACGTGAATCAACTCTCGACACACTATCGAATAAAAAAGTAGTTGTTAAAGATCCGGCATGCAATCGAACAGGGTCACTGCATGACTGAGATAGATGCTTTGCCATTACGTCATTTCTCGCTTTTTGATCTGTACAACAATGAGAATATCACCATCATTATTATTGTCTTATCATCTTGAAAATCATCACCATCATCAATGTCACCATCAATATCTTAATAATTATCCTTGTAACATTATTATTATCATCATTGTCATTATCATTCCAACATCATCATCGACTTTTCATTAACATAATTTGCCTACTTATGCATAAGTCTCAATCTAAATTATTTCCTAAGCACTTATCAGATATATTAACTGAATATTAACGGTTTACGATTGTCTTTTTGTTCTGACTTCTTAACTCGTGTTAAACACTCTATGCTAAATCTTATTTTTTCTTTTTTTTTTCTGGCTCTTTTCTTTAGAACTCTCTAGCTCTACCTCTTTCTCTGACTACTTCTCCATCACTTACGAAGTTCAGAGCATCTGTTTGCAAAATTCACTGAGGAGCACTGTTGAATATTGCGGAAATGGCGCTTAACAAACTAATTAATTGAATGATTGATTGACTGACTGACTGACGACTGACGACTGGCTGACTGACTGACTGGCTGGCTGGCTGGCTGACTGACTGACTGACTGACTGACTGACTGACTGGCTGGCTGGCTGGCTGGCTGGCTGGCTGACTGACTGACTGGCTGGCTGACTGACTGACTGACTGACTGACTGACTGACTGGCTGGCTGACTGACTGACTGACTGACTGACTGACTGGCTGGCTGGCTGGCTGGCTGGCTGGCTGACTGACTGACTGACTGACTGACTGACTGACTGACTGACTGGCTGGCTGGCTGGCTGACTGGCTGACTGACTGACTGACTGACTGACTGACTGACTGACTGACTGACTGACTGACTGACTGACTGACTGACTGACTGACTGACTGACTGACTGACTGACTGACTGACTGACTGACTGACTGACTGACTGACTGACTGATTCCAACATCATCATCGTCTTGTCATTATTATTCATGGTTCTTTCTTCTGAGCCTAGGAAAAGTGTAATATAACTTTTTCAACCTTTTAATATTATTTCAACATCACTTTCCTCTTTATCATTGCCATTATCATTTCAACGTCATCTTTATTGTTATCATTGTAACTCTCATCCCAGCAGCATCATCAGCCCTTTTTTGATTCCAAGTGTTGTTTCTTTTTTGGGTAGAGTAGATTAGATTCTACTGTATGGTGTGAAATGTAGTACTAAACAAATTTTGCACCTTTGAATAATTAACTTCTCTAAATAAGCAAAATAAGTTCGATCAATCATGCGGTCAGTGCTGTTAAACCAGAAATAACTTGCAAGCAACCACTTATGTCTCTTAACTATCTCTCTCTCTTCCTTTCTCGCTTTCTCTCTTTCTTTCTCTCTTCTTTTTTTTGTAAACAGACACACACACACACACGTACATACATATGCACAGACACACATACGCACAGACATCTGTACCCATATGAGAAATATATATACATCTATCTATGTGGTTGTGCATAAAAAAATTGCATACAATTTTAGATAATTTTTTACGTGATATAACTGCGTGAGGCTGGTTCGGTGAACAGATATCTTTTGTATGTGTTTGTTTAAGGAAAAAATTCATTGGATTAAATTTATTTTTATTGTTTTGTTTTACACCTAAAATTGATTGAGGAAAAAGTTAACCAAGCAAACATAAGCGAAGTAATTAGATTTATTTTCCTACGTTATAATATGTATGTATGTAAGTTATTGTAATGTATAAGTGCTTTTAAACGTGTCTGTAGATGTCTCTTGTGTGCGTCGTGTGTGTATGAATGTATGCATGTATGTATGTATGCATGTATGTGTGTATGTATGTATGTATGTATGTATGTATGTGTATGTATGTATATATGTATGTATGTATGTATGTATTTCTGTTTTAGAATATTTGATATATCTGTCCTTCAAAATGGGTTCATTCCCATGTTGCTTCAAAATTGCAAAAATAATCCCTGTTGAAAAAGTAAAAAAAAGTACAGATTTATCAAATTTTCGACCAATAGCACTTCTGCCTACCATTTCGAAAATTTTGGAAAAAATCATGCTTCAACGAATGAATAGTTTTTTACAAAAAAACAAAATTTTATCAAATTGTCAATTCGGCTTCAGAGAAAAATACTCAACAGAACAAGCGATCGTAGAGTTGATTCGGAAAATTGGTTTCCATGCCGAATGTAAAAAATATATAATCTGCACATGCTTGGATCTATCCAAAGCATTTGATTGCATCAACCACAACATCATGTTGAAAAAGTTTAAAAAGTATGGCTTCAGTAGCACGACACTCCAATGGCTACGAAGTTATTGGACGAGAAGAAAACAATTCGTTTGTGTGAATAACGAAACCTCTGGCATGCTCAACAAAAACCATGAACCATGGTGTCCCTCAGGGTAGCATCCTGGGTCCGTTGTTGTTCATCATCTACGTGAACGATTTACCAACTGCATCAACGTTCTTCGATTACATCATTTACGCGGATGATACAAACGTCTACAGTAGCGGCAAATAAATCAACGAGCTCATTGAAAACGAAGGGTTGAAAAATATCGTCTGTTTGTTCGAAGCCAACAAACTCACGATAAATTCATCAAAAAGCCAGATAATGATGTTTGGGCCAGTTCATTACCTCAACTACAAAGAACCCTACAAAATCAAGTTAGGTGATGATACAATTGAAGAAACGAAACGCTTGAAATTTTTAGGCGTTTATTTTGAGTCAAAAATTTCGTTCAAACACTACACAAGATATATTGCAAATAAGTTATCAAAGACAATAGGAATGATAAATAAAGTAAAATCATTCCTTCCTAGGAAATATCTGAACTTGCTGTACAATTCTCTGTGCACGCCGTTACTTACTGTACTGTACTAACTTACTGTAACACAATCTGGGCGTCATCGTATCACGCAACCACGATGCCAGTAGAACGTTTGATGAAACGAGCAGTTAGAATTGTGACAGGACCAACACGAAAGGACCACAGTCAACCGCTCTTCAACATAACGCAAAATTTAAATTTTTCGAAGCTGAACATATATTTTGAGATGATCTTCGTGTAACAAACAATTGACGAACAGATTGCCAGAGTTGTTTCAAAATTATTACAGGATGAAAAAGCAATCTCGAAAACCCAACAATCTCGTCTCCAACAAATCGAAAACGAACATCATGTTTTCAAACATTTTCTGTAAAGGGCCAAGAGCTTGGAACGAAATCGTAAACAGCGGTTTCGATGTTGATTTCAATTCATTGCATAATTTTAAAATAAAACTGAAGAACTATCTAATTAAACATACGTGACTGTCATAATCTTACTCACAAATGCTATACTGTATAAATACTATATAGACATGGAAAACTTAAATAACTTTTTTTATTAAAAACTGCCAATTTTTACTTATTTCTGTTATTCTATTTATACTATTAAATAATTTTTGCTATATGATTCATGAAATAGAAATATTATTTTATTTACTGAACATTTTTGTTTAAACACGGAACATTTCTGATTAGGTGGCCATACCAGATGAATTTCTATACAAATTCTATTAGGGTCTTCCTGCTTTCTTATTATTTTTGAATATTGAGAAGCAAATAAAATTTCGTTTCGTTTCGTATGTATGTATGTGTGTATGTATGTATGTATTAAATGTGTGTGCTGTGCATGTGTGTGTACGTATGTATGTTGGTTGTATCTATGTAAAACACGAGTTTTCAAAATGATCTTGAAGGATCAATTATTCAAGAAACAATTTATCATGGCGAGTTAGTTCTTTTCGCTGGCATCTCATTTTGAAAAGAAATTTTTATTTCTTCAGGAATCAATTATTTTCAGTTTTAAATGATGCTTGTTCTTTGAAGTACTTGGTTCGAATTAGTTTATTTTCTGAATAACTTCATAATGTTTCTTTAACTTCATAAATTCTTATTTGTAGTGGCCAAAAAAGAGTATTTTAATTAAATATTAATCCTTCAAAGCTAAAAATTTTAATTTAGTATTTTTATGATTTATTTTAATTTTGATATACAAATCTAAACCATACCACACATAATAATATTACCAATTTTCCTTCCTTATCCATCGTATCGTCGTCACAAGCGAACGAAGAGCAGCTCACATTCGTGTTCCACTTCAACTTGTCGGGTGTTATTTAATCTTTTCCCCCATAAAATCTCAAGCTTGCATTTTTGTTGGATTTTTAAATTTTTGACGAAAAATTATTTTAATAGAGATATAAATACCATATAATGGTGATGGCGTTGATTCTATGTTCATGATGCACACGTTTAAAACTGTTGCGAAGGCAAAAGTTTATGAAACTTGAGATGATATTGAAATCTGAGAGAAAGATTGAAATAAACATTGGATGACAAAATAGAATTTTATATTTTGATATTTTGTTCATAAGCGTGTACGTATTCATTGCACGCACATGCACACTAGGGATATAACAATTTTTAAAGACCCTATCCCCATGTTATTTTTTGTGGAGTTTTAATGCAAAGATCAAGAAAAATCCAATGGCAAGTGCCAACTTTAAAAAAATGTCACCCCCTTAATTAAATTTATATTATATATACATTGTACAAAATGGTTTTTTTAATTAGAAATACAGACATACAGGTTTTAGTGTTCATTTGTCAAAAGAAATTTAATGTTAATTTTTTCAATGCTTTTGCACAATAGAAGTAAATCCTGCAGAACTTTAATTGCACGTTCAGCACAAATGTTTGACCTTTGAGTTGAGATTGGAGTCGGCTCAACCGACCAAAAAGTTCTTAAAGTCTTTATTGCCTTTGATCTTTGCAAACGGCTGCCAAATTATTGTAGTTATCCTGATTATAAACCTGACCAGAAAACCAGATGTCACTCCACGTGCCAGTAATAAAGTCATATGATGACTGACCTTCGGCTGACTGTCAAAATTCTGGAAGCAAAGCAATATAAGCTAGCAAAGCATAGATTGCTCGGCTATTCTATCTTGCATTGCTTATATTTGGCAAAGTTCTGAAATTTACTTTAGGAAGCATCCTGTTTTCTTAAACTGTCTGTAACAAGTGATCAAGTGATGAAGGAAAGCCATATCATCTCTCCAAACAATTTCTTCTTCCTTCAGAGCATCTGAATCTTGAGAACCACTGTCAGAATCTTATTTTTCTTCTTCAGTGTTAAAATGTTCTTCATCTTTACTGCTTAAATCATCCTTAGTATCTTGGCTGACTCTTTGCTGTTCTTCATCTTCACTGTTTAAATCATCCTTAGTATCTTGACTGACTTTTTGCTTAATCAACTTTAGTTTTCTAGGATGAACTCCTTGTGTATCTTCAATTGTGGTGCAGTAGCCAGCTCTACCATTTGTTGACATCTGAAGATTATAGAAGGCTTTATCTTTCTGGCACAACCATTCTCCATTTTTATCAGTTACGTTGAACAAGTTGGTAAAGTCTTGCGTTCCTGGTTTTCTGCTGTCTTTTTCATACTTGTTTAGTACATTCTCAATTTTTCTTTCCACTCTAGATTTGCCTTTTTGAATTGGAAGATTCAGTTTTTTCCATAAGATTTTTACTTCTTTGATCACTATCACAACTCTCTCCTTTCTACTTTTCACATTTGCAGCCAAGCACTTAAATTTGTCCAGGATATGCTGTTTTGTTGGCATTTTGTTCATTTGATCAAGACTGTCAACAATCTTTGCATACTTTTTTGAATTCTTGGCTTTTTCAAATCTCACCAAATTTGATTCCCATAGTTTCTTATTCAAATCTAAAGGAAGACTATTTTTAGACATCTTGACTATAGTCCTGTCGAATTATAATTTGAGTGTAAATTTAATTATCTACAAATAAACAAATCTTATGAGTTTAGGTTATCAAAATAAGTTTATAAAA